TTTCTTGTGACTTTTTAACAATAAAATGCTGTGGTCATTTAAAAAAATTTATTATTTTGTACAACCATGGTATAAACATGGTATAAAAGCAGTAATGGTATATAACATGGTATATAACGGGTATATAACAGGGTATAAACTAGGTTGTTATAAACCCGCCCATCACTAAAAGGAATATGCTAATTTCATATAACTTGAAATGAAAAGATTACATTGTACAGAAATTAAATTTGGGTAAGGAGTTGTATAGCAGAAACTTTGTTATTATTATAAGTCGTATCCAAGCAATTTTATGTCATGAAATTATGGGTAAAGAAAAAACCGTCATTTTTAAATTTTTTGGTGTAAAAAAGTTAAAAACCAACTCGAGTTTTTAATAAAAAATTGATTGGTTCAGTTTGTTAACTTAAATTCCAATAAAGCACTAATTAGTAAAAACGCGTTTTTTGTATAAAGAGCCAAGGATTAGTCATCGTGCAAGATTGGTAAATTACATATTTATTACTCGTCCATATTAACACTTCCCTTTTTCAACTCTCAATAATGTTCTTCGCCTTTTATATAGCTAATGAAAAAAAAGTGGACGATTCGTGTATAATGAAGTTTCTCATCTTTAGCTATCTACTTTTCAAATTGGATTGGGTTTTTAATCATTAATATTAAATTTATTAAATTCGTAAGCAATTTCCTTTTGTATATGTAATTTTTTTATTATTCATGTAACAACTCTTTAATTGTTAAAATAAAGGAATAAATTTTTTGCTCAACGAACATTTATTATTCCAGTATTATCATTTTATGTTAACATATATTACAATGTGCAAAATTTTTGACAATGGACAGATTCTGTGAGGATGTCCTACTTCCCGGCATAAAGTCTTATCTTAGATTTGCATTTTTTTTTGCAAACTGAAATAAATACTTTGTATTTCATTTTTTTAAAAATGAAAATGTATTTGAATAAAAGTCTTTTACTCGTTATCAGCACTATTTATTTGATCGGTTTATTCAAACAGCTTTATCGCAACAATACAATGTGCTTGTGATAATCCAATTTCTTCTTTAGCTAATATAGTAAAAGTTACATCAAATAGTATAAATCTAAAAAATCGAGCGGTTCAGAAATAGACTCATTGATAAATTTAGCCCATTGCTAATTGTTTGGATGAATGTGTAGATGGAATCATGAATTAGCTCTCGGTTTTAAATTCTGATGTTTTTATTTAGGCTGTTGCAACCGATTATCTTGATAAAGTCGGCTGTTAAAATATGAATTCAAAAAATTTTTTATTGATGTTAATTATAAAAAAATTATTTATTATTAATCTATCTTTTATTTTTTGATCATTTTTAAACATGGAAATATAATTTATATTCTATATAGTAATAAAATGAAACATACTAAGTCATGGTGCATATATTATCGATAAACGATCTGCAAATTAAGACCATAAACTAGAATCGCAATAACAGTCACCATTACCACCTTTAAAAATTCGTTATAATGTCCCTTAACATTAACATTAAAATTTTGAATAATAGTATATGTCGATCGAATATCACGTTTTGACACTATATGATCTACATGGCACGTTTTCTGTACAACAGACTTTTAAAAAGATGTCAAGTTTTTTTTTTTACAGAATAATGGCACATTTTTGACTTTAGGAATATCATCCTTTTCAGGAAGCAGTTTATTAAAATTATTTTAGCACGATAAGGTAGAGTATATCGACCTAAAATTGCGTTAGCAATCGCCCAAGTATATTACTGCTGCTAATAATGCTATCATTTTTATTATGGCTTTTAATTTTTTTGTTTAAATTATCTAATGAATTTAAGCTTACATTTATTTCTTCTTTTTAATATATTATTATTGAAGTTATTAATATTGCTGATAATTTGCAACAAATCTATCCATTATAAATCAAAAATCAAGTTCAATTAAAAAAAAAAGCAGTCAGAACTTAGACATTTGAAAAGGATGTATGTAATTTACATACAGAGTTGCTATTAGTAGTGATGGTGGTAATAAAGCTTGTTGATGAGGAAGATAAGGATGGTGATCTTTTCGTGAACAAAAACCTACCAGTTTTCTATATACACTACCTTCATCAACTCTTGGTTTTTCCTTATACCTTTCAACCCCATCCTCATGTGCGCATTATTATCTGGCATTGGTTGTCCATCTTTATCATTTAAACATGCAAATCATTAGACTAACTGAAAAATACAGGGAAAAAAATAAGGTAAATTATGGTTTTTATAATATCACGTGTTATTTGATCTTGTGCAAGTGTTACATTAATGAAAAAAAATTGAACATATTTCGATATTATTATGCTTTTCATGTAGTTTTAATCATTAACAATTGGATGGATCATCAAACATTCTTATTTCTGACACTTATTGCCATGTTACTTAACGTTTGATTTGAATTATCTCTCAGATATTAAATTATTAAAATATTATAATCAACTCTGTCCAAGAAAAAAGAGCCAATCGTCCTGAAGGATAAGATATAATGAGTATCACCCATTATTTGGTCACTCTGGTAGAACTTTATATACTATTTTATTATTGATATTACTATTAATATTAATATCTTCTTCTTCGTCGTCATCGTCATCACCATCATCATAATCATCATAATCATCGTCATCATCATCCATCTCTCTATTCTTTTCCTTATTAACCCATTCCTAATTGTTTCTATTATTTTTTTTTTCTAGGACTGTTTTTTTTTGGTAGATGTTGTTTATAGTAGGATCGGAAACTCCACAGGTAACTCTCGAACTAAAGTTACCATTTTATTAAATGAGAAATCTGAGTTCAACTCGGCCTTTTTATCAGGCTTTATTGCGTTGATTATCTTTGGTTTATATTATAGGGCTAGTTCTCATAAGTTTCATGGCGAACCAAAAGTCAATAATCCGTAAACATTTTTGCTTGTAAAAGTAAGCATTTACTGAAAGATTTTTATTTTATTTTTTATGCGAAAGTTTTGTGTTACAAATAAAAGTAAATCTTAAAACAAAAAATTAGTAAGGAAAACAAAGATTTTTTGTAAACCGTAATTATGCCAACTATAGATATGATCGTCAAAGTGTCCATTTAACACTAAACCAGAAGGTTGTATGTAACACGACATACTCAATTTCAACTAACCATATTACAGCAAAGACGTTTAACACTGACGATATTCATAATGTCAGAAATCATTGGTATCATTGAAAGAATTGTTTTATTAGGTCAACAAATTATTGAGAGGTTAGAAGCGCACGAAGAAGCAGTCGCAAGTCTCAAGAGGTTGGAACAAATTTTATGGCTGCTCAAAGATGTTGTCAACGAAATTACCAACACCAATGTTTATAAATCCCATATTGTCGGTATCAAAGATACTCTTGAACGAACTCAGAATGTTTACATGAAGTGCGCTGAGGACCTTAACAGCAAAAAAAAGGATGGCAAGCATGTGATGGGCAGGTTTAAGCAGGCCGTTGGAATATATAAGGCCCCTAATATCCTAGCTGATATCCAACGCACTATCAAAGATGTTGAGAGTCATCTTAGCATCACTGATAAGTCTTTAAGTATTATACAACGATCTCAGGTTACACTAGCTCCAACAATTGTTGCAACATCCACTTCAATAACCACTACCACCTCCTCCTCCACTAGCGTTCTAGGAACTGAATTGAGAGAAGTCCTTTCAAACACCATTGATGAATTAGTGAGAAGGCTTAAAAATGACTGTCAGCAGCTCCAAGAAAAGCTCGATCGTTGTACAATTTCTATAGAATCTTCTTTCTTTGAAAGTCTGGAAAGTGAAAATCCCGAGGCTATTTCATTTTGGAAGGATCGTTTCGGGTCTACTGAGCTCAATATATCATCTGTTGCCCCATACGAGGTGAGTTGTTTTACTAAATTAGCATTTAAGAATAATAATGATTGATTATTAAAAGTCATAAACGCTAATGTGATCTTTGAATATAGACTATGTATGTCTCCTGGGCTCGGTTTGTTCATGAAATCGAGGTAACTTTTCAGCTAAAGAATATTCCAACTGCAACCAAGGAAGCCTATTTCGGACAAATTGATGACATTCGCAAATATGGTAATAGATACTATATCGATCCAGCAGGAACACGCAATCTCAAAGACATTCGACCACTATGGCTTTCAGCCTTGCGCAGAGCATTGGATCCACTTCATAAAGGCTACGTTAAACCACACGATTTCTTATCTTTCGTTAATACGGAGTCGTTATCTAACAAACTAAGGCAAGTCGTTCTTGATAGCTGCGGATACGGAATTTTTGTGGAATGTCAACGGACAACTAGTGATATTGCATTACCTTCTGAATTAGAGAGTCCTCCCGACCATGTTGGTTGGATGTCAGCGTGTCAAATCATCTCAGTACCCTCATCGGATGAGCTTGGCATATTCATATACGACAAGGAAACCCAGCCACATTTCAAAAATCTTATGGACAGCTTCACATACCCTCAAAATGACGTCTGGGTTTATGTTCGCTATCTCCAGACCGGCCAAATTGAAAGAAAGCTTCTCTCGAAACATGTGCGAATGCTTGGTGGACTCTGTGTTGGAGCTTCAATTTCTATCCACTACGATATGGAAAATAGTTCAGGTAATTGGAGTGATAGCCTTTTAATTGTGGAGCTCAAAGCTTGTGCTGGTGGCCGTTATATTGTGACCGCTGGATCAGAAGAAAACACTATCGTATTTGTAACGAAACAACCATTCGGCTTTAATGATCGCACGGTACAAAGTGACCTACCTTGTGAATTTGTTAATCTTCCGGAATTTGATTACTGTCTTTTGGGGCCTTCGACAATTTTCACGCAAGAGCCTAAAGTTGGTGAGAAAATCCAGGTGAGACATTTAGGAACGGGAGCCAAGAAAACTGATGTAATCAGATTAATTCTTTTTTTTTTTTTGAATCAGTTTCTAAGTTGCCTTGAAAACAAAATCAAATAATGTTTCTGTGTTTATGACATTTGTAGATCAAGTCAGATGGATTATGGTATGATGTCAAAGTTACCGCAGTAAATGGCGACCATGTAGAATATATTTCGACTTCTAATCTAAACAGCCCAACAAGCGATACTTTTACTGAAGATGGTGATGATAGTAGTAATGGTGATAGCAATAGTAGTAGTGACAGCGGCGATTACCTTGGCTTATCGGATGCCCTATTATTAAAACAAAAAAAAAATAATAGCATAAGTTGGTGTCCATGGGCGTCTGGAGTGTCTAATTTAGAAGTCAGACCTTATCGTTGCCTCCATATTGGTGATCATGTTGAAGCACCTGTAATATACCCAGACTATCTCTACAATTACCATAGCCTTGAAGAATCGCAACTTTACCTCCCAGCTCGCATTATGGATGTTCAGGGTGATCAGTATCTAGTCAAGTTTAGTCCTGCTGCCATGGCCTATCATTGGTGGCCCGGTCGCGCCTCAGTTAACGAAGAATTTCCACGTGGGCTAAATTCCAAAGAGACCGTTAAGAATCTGTTTGATAAAACACAAGTTTTGGTGAGCATGGATCGGGTTCGTCCTTACGCTAGAGGTGGCTCATATCCTGTCTTGGGCACGCAATCTATAAGGCCAAAGAGCTGGTCGGCGTTTCAGAAGATCCAATTTGAGGATCTGCAACAAATTGAAAATATTCTATGGAAGTGAGTTATAGTAATAGTTAATTCTAAAAATAATTTTATATTTTTTGTCTCTTTCTGTCTCCATTGCCATTATTATCTCAATAATTATAATATCAAATTTAATATTTAATTGTAAAAATGAAATAATTGCTTTTATTTATAAAATTAAAAAAAGGAATAAGTAAAATATATATATAACAATGTGATGAAGTCAAGTAGAATTATTGTGATAAATGAAAATTATCAGGTCCATGTTGAAGATCAACATCATACAATGTGTATCAAAATTTTCCAAAAATTAATAATTTTCAAGTAAAATTTTTCCATTCTATATAAAATTTCCAAAATAAATAATTAATGATACCAGGTTGAAAAGTAATAATGAATTCTCATTTTCTACAGTGCAATTATACAAAAGAAATGCTTGAATTTTATCGAATTACTGTTGCTCCTCAGCGACATACGTCTTGCATATATCCTTGTGTTCCTTATAATGACTTTTTTGACAAGCAGTCCCGCAATATACCACTCTTTTACATCTTCCACAACGCTTATTATTGTCGTTCGCTTTTCCACATTGAGCACAAACAACTAACATAAGTAAATCTTTTGCTTTCTGCAACGACATCCTCAAAACTCTCTGCTCTCCAATACTGACGTGTGCTGCTGCCCAAGAGCTATTACCTTTTTGATATTTACCAGAAGTAATTCTTGATTCAAGTTCCTCAAGAGGAATGCCAAACTCAGCCAACAGACCCTCAAGTGCTTCGATCAAAGCCCCCAAAATTTCTGCCTCATTACGAGCACTTACCACATTCCTGGCACCGTGATTGACATTTATTGTAGGAACTTCTGAAGGAGTTAGACGTTGAATCCGTAAATAGCGAAGCACATCCAACGGAAGAGGATCATTGAGTTTAAGAGGGAAGGAGGCATCAGCTTTTAAACCAGCCGATTCAAGCATGGAAATTTTCTGAGCGTACAATGGTGCTAACGGATGTGTGGAAAGAACAAGATCATAAGAGTCATGTGGGTTGTCAGGGAGGACAAATCCGTAGAGGCGAAGGAGTCGATTGTTAGGAACAGGACCATAATTGATAAAGACCTTTTAAGAGATGCGAGAAATGAAGATTAAAATTTGATTGGAAAAATTTTAAGCTCATCAAAAAATCAAAACGGTGAATAACTTGTTCTCCTATTGCGTAATCTTTTCCTGCCACTACTCGCAAGTTACCAGACTTGGAATCGTAAATATGACAAAGTTGAACGTCAAAAGAGTGATTCAGCAAGTCGGCAAAAGGTACGATGCAACGAAATTGTTTGTCAGGTAACTGGAAATCCATAGCACGACTCCAGACTGTGCAAAGAGCCCATATATACTAAAGGACACAAGCAAACATAAGGTTAAAGTGCACTTTATGTATTAAATAAATAAGATCCTGTAAAAAACCTACATCATTTTGGGTAAACTTTTCCAAAGGAAAAATATCAGGATGTTTGGAAAACAAATTATTGAAGAGCTGAAGGTAATCATCTTTGATTTGCTGCTTCAATTGTTGAGTAAGGAGATAAAGCGAAGAACCAGAACAGATTTCAAGTTCGTCATCGTCAAAGAACAGACTCGTTGTATAGCTGGATGGTAGCAATTCTACATGTGATCGTCTTCCTTCGTATCCTTCTTTGCGTGATTTGACAAAAAGAAGAAACACAGCTAATGTATCTTCTACTGATAATGATGACTTTATTGGATGTATCACAGGCCCAAGAATGGGGTCATCAAGTGCACCATCTACTGTCCAGAGGAATGTACTTGGTATAGTAAGAACTAGGTCATTGTATTTAAGAGGCCGAAGTGTTTTAAGACCTCTTCCAGTATCAGGGAAGTCTTCTAGTTGCAGCCAATTATATCCTTTAGCTCCTCCACTCTCAAGCCATTTCTGTAGCTCTGTTGTCGCCATAGCAGATATCAGATATATTGTCAAAAAAGGATTAATTTTTTTTCTATGATTGTGTAACTAAGAAAACAATTTTGATAAATCATACCCAGCCAGATATAAATATTATATATTTAAAATTTCAAAATGTATTGTATTTCAAAATGTATTGTATAAAAATTTTGAATCAAGTGTTAATTGAAAATAAAAAGAAAATACCATGATCACCTTCACACATAATTCATAGCCATAACAATTAGATTCCTGTTAAACCGGCCACTTTGCCTAAAATATAGCATTACTAATGAATAATAACATCATTATTATTTTGTTATTTTATTGGTTTTGATATTAGATTCATCAGAGATTTTGTTTCAAAATCATTCGAATAAAAAATCAGATTAATAATAAACTTGATTACACTTACAGTTTGTGTAGTTAGTGTCGATGCCAATATCGATGTTGCGTCGTGATTATTCATGTAATCATCATTATTGTCATAATTATAATTATAATTGTTGCTGCAATTAACAATACGCCAATAAATAAAATGATCGTTATTATACAAACAAAACCATGATTCCATTAACTTGTATAAACTTACATTTGTAATGATTATTATATTTGTAATAGCGTGAATATTAATAAACAATAATCAATAACGATCAATCAAACAAATAAATAAAGTAGTTGCGGCAAAATCTTGACTCCATTAGCTGTAGAAACAAGCTTACAATTGTTTCTTTGGTCGAAGCTTTTGAGGAAGAGGACAATATTGTAAAAGCGGTGTTTGTGGTAGAAATTGTTGTGAAAGTAGACACTATAGTGAAAGAGGCGGCGAAAGAGGTGTTTGTTGATGGTGTTTATCTTTTATCTTGGTACGGCCAGTAGTTAATGGAATTATCATGATTATAATGATAATTTTCTTGTATTATATCTTGCCAATAATTTGACAATTCATTTTTAGATTTGTTCTACAGTATTAAAGTAAATATTGATTATTAATTGTAATTTTGTAATAAATTATTTAAATATTAAATGAGAAATAAAACCACAAGCTCTGCAAATGTTCACTTACGCATCCATAGGTTTTCAAGGATTTACTTGCGCTTTTCTAACAGTTTATTTGCGCCCAACATTCGATTTCACAACTTTTCATTATTTTTCATCATCCATCCATCATTCTTTATAAATAAAAATTTTTAACAAAAACGATCAATCATTCACACTTCCGCTGTGTCAAAACCAATATTGCCGAAAGTTATTTTTTTATTTTTATTACTAACCATCAGATTGTCAACACATTCATTTCATTAATATACGAAGATGTATCTTGTTTTATTTTTTATTTTTAGACTATTTTTATTGGTTTTTAAAACTTGGGAAAACAATTGAATTTATCTTGGATACACAAGTCACAATTTGCGCGAAGAATTTCATTTTAAGGTAGAGTCCGTGATGTGTAGAGTCTGTGAGTCCGTGAGGTCTGTCATTTAATTTGATGCAAAATTTCTACCAAAAAGAGACTAGATTTTAGCAAAATATTCGTGCTCTACTTAATATTACTAAAAACAGATTAATATAATTCATTTTAGATTCTTTTTTTTAAAAAAGGTAACAATAATAATAAATTTTATTATAATACGTATATATATAATTATATACAATAAAATAAAGTAGCACACATATATTATTATTAACTCCCTGTAATACCCAATAATTGGTACGACTCGGCATCACACAAACTTAACACGCCCCATTCATTCCATTCCTTACTTTCTCTGCCCACTCTAAAAATTATTAGATTTTTTTTTATTTCAATCTATTTTAATGAAAAATATAGTCCATGTGAATTTCACACTTCACACCCATATTTGATTGGCTAATTTCAATTTCACATACTATATTAAAATACATGTATATATATAAAAAATTTACTTGAGGGTGGTCATTTACGAACCTTACTAAAAAGAGGCTAAGGTTTGCAAAGTATTCGCACTCTATTTTTAGGATGAATAACTAATGGATACACCAATAATGTGTAACGTTTTTATATCTGGGAATTAATTAGTGCAAATAGATTGATTATTTTTAAAGGATTCCAAGGGAATCAAAGGCAACACCTTAAATGGCTAATACTAAATCCAGTGGCATGGCGGACATTTGTATAATTGGTAATGATTTTCGTCGATCATATTTTGATTTTATCACGTATCACGCGAAAAAGAAATTTGATTGGTCGAATAAATTACAATGTAGTAGTAGAGAAAAGCAGATATTGGAAGCAAAATTTTATTTATCTTATCTAATAATACAAAACCATCATCAATTCAACAGTAACTGCCTTAAATAAATGTATTATACAAACCACTTTTCTTTTTCCTGTGTCCTATTTATCTAACAATAAATAATAAATATATACAAAATTATTAATTTAATAATTATATAACAGCTAACTACTTTGTTTAATTTGTTTGTGTCCTATTTATCCAGTAAATAAATAAATATACATGTATAATTTATACAGCACCGTTAAACAATAACTACCTAATAATAAGAAATAGATATAAAAAAAATTATTGATTTTAACAATAATTATAGAATAACTACCTTGTTCCTTTGTATGTGTCCTATTTATCTAACAATAAGAAATAAAATGCCACCTTTTAAATACTTTTGAAAGTACATAATAATATACATGTTAAAGATGACTCCCCAATTAATTGCAACTAATTACGCCATATAAAAATTTGAATTGCAGTTGCGGCATATGATAATTGGATTGCGGCTAATTATGGTTTCCATCTTTAACCAAACCATCATCACACAATATAAAAAGACTGACAATTTAGCAAAGTGTCGTATTAATATTATTAGACAATGGCTTTAAAAACTTATTTTTAAAACTAATGACTTGGAAATCTTTCCAATAAAAGAAATATGATTACGTAAATTAGAAAGATCTTTTTATTCTAAAATTTTTTAAATTCGGACTGTAGACGTAACATTTATAGATTAGCGTGATGGGAGTTCTATTTATCGCATTTATCGCATTTATCGCGTCTTGAGATCTCGAAACTATGTTGTGTGACTATTACTATATAATTTTAAAATAGATTTTTATGCATAAACCAGTTTTTCAATAAACAAAAAAAAAATTAAAATCGTGTTAATTACATATATGTAAGGTGGAAAAAAAAATAGTTCTACTTTTGAGATTAATATTACACATACTTTTATTTGGGGAAATTTATATAGTAACAAACTTTATTTCTAGATATAAAACCAAGTTTAGATTATTCTTTAAATTACTGTCATCAAGCAGTCGTCAATACCCATGGAGTCTTATTAAAAGCAAAGTTTATAATGTAGCACACTAGGATTCAGGTTACTGAAACATTAATACAATTCAAATCGAATATTCATGAGGTTTGTTGGAAATGAAGACTTTTTATATCGCAATTTCCAACTCTGTTATGTTATTAAACTATTTTTATATATATATACAATTTAAGAAAGATTTTACAGATAAGTAATGTATATTTTTATCAATTGGAGTATTAACATCATTTTAAATATATTTATTATATTTAATAATATTTTTTTTTTAATATTATAGATGCATATATAATTAATTATTCAAATATAATATTTACTTTTCAATATATATAATGTGGTGGATAGATAGAAATATTCTCAACTTTTTCTAAATTTTTTATTAAAAGAAATTGAAGATGAAATGGAAATATAAAAAATAAACAGTACTATTCTTATCTTAGTGATGATATCTAATTTTGTAATTCTTGTTCACTGTGATCGATGTTACACGTCGATGCTTATTTTTTGACCTATGAATTTTTCAAGGGTTCTCCATATGCTACGATTTTACACTTTTATGGGTTATTCATTACTTGATCAGAGAGAATACATCAACCAACTTTCGAGATTCGCGTTAATGTGACCAAGCCCTCAATTTTACAGTCATATATTATTATTTTTGCATGTAACTCTGATATAATTTTAGGACTGGCAATACACTAATAAAGCCTCCAAAATCTTCCTATATAAAAAATGAATCTTCACATGCAGAAAATGCAATCTTCCTTCCATTTTTCTTTGCATCCAGGTCTCTCTCTTTATTCTTTTTTATTATTATAATGTACAGAATTAACTCATTATATATACCACGTATAATATTAATATATATATTACCAGCGTAATTTATTCCTTCGGACCTTTACTAATTTGGGGAAACAACATTTGCAAGAATATTATACCTTTCGTTGAAAGCTTTATTTAGTTAAAAATAATACTGTTAATCCCGTAGACTAAAAATTTATGTATAAGGAAATTAATTTTAATATATTATTATATATATTATTATGTATTTTCAAAGTATTTACTCATTGCATATTTTATTCTTTTCATTTGCTTCAATATTATATATGGACATCAAAAGAATTTCAAAGAGTAGTTAGTTGGTTGTTTTATAATTGTTGTTAAATTAACATATATTTAAAAGCGTGGATAATAGATATAAGAAAGATAGACCCCTCCCTACTTTAAAAAAATTGTAAAAAGAGGTTTTATATATCTTTCGAGACTTTATGGTGGTTGTTTTATATATAATTATTGTAGTAATAGTTTTGTATAATAGTAACAAGGTAGTTGTTCTATAATTATTGGGCGTGGACAATAAAATTTTCCACTATTATGTAAATTTTTTTATAATTGGTTAAATAGTATTTTCTTTTCTTTAAAATTTGTTCAAGCTTTCTTTTTTGCGCGATAATGAAATAACCGAAGAAATGTAGAGTAGTTTACATCAACGTGAGGTTACTTTCATTATATGCATATTCTACGCAAATCCCCTGTTTTGTCAATATTTTATATTAATATATGTTTTCCTTATGTCAATATATATTATCATGTTGTAATAAGTATACATTTGGAAAAGGTGCAATATATTTATTGAACTAATTTCAAATTTCTCTCGATTAGATTCATCTTTTCTTCAAGCTAGTTTTAAGCCGGGAGAATATAATAAGTAGCAGTCGTGCCTTTAAGCGAGCTAGAGCTGCGATATAATTTTTAAGGTTTTAAAGAACCGGCTTATATATCAGGAATATAGTTAATATATTATATTCTGAAAAAGGCACCGAGAAATGTTTTTATATTTTATTATTAATAACAAATATTTCAACATTCGATAATAAAATTTATACAAAAAGAAGGCAAAATACGAGATGAATATTATTATACATATTTTACAAAGATTCACCACCATCGACACGAACCACAAGATGTACGGTGGACTCTTTTGAAATGTTGTACTCTGATAATGTTTTCTTTGCGACAGCCAGCTCCTTTCCAGCGAAAATGAGACGTTGCTCGTGCGGTGGGATCCCCTCTTTATGCTCTATCTGCAGTTTTAGATCGTCAACAGTTTGGGTTGCAAGGACATCCAGAGTGAGATTCTTCCCCTTCATCGTTTTTAAGAATATTTGCATGGTTCCAGGAATACGTACGACAAGATAAATGACGGATTTCGCTTGTAGGTGATAATCAGAAATGCTTTTGTCATTCTCCAATCGTTGATTAAAAAGCATGAGATGTTGTTGGTCGTGTGGATACCCTTCTGCAGTTTCAATTTTTTCTTTTAAGGAAGCGATGGTATCATTAGGCTTAACCTTCAAGTTAATCGTTTTGCCAGTGAGTGTTGTCAATGATGTCAATGTTTTCACATAGATAGTGAACGAACTGCTTTTTTTGCGATAAAAAGTGGGTACATTACGAGCTTTTCGAGTTTGGGTTTGATTAGAACTAATTATTTTTTAAAAAAAATTTTTTGTCATGTTTAATAAGCAAAATATATATATATATATATATACACACACTCTCTTAATAAAAAGTTATTTGCATTAATATATTTACCTTGTGGTTACCTTGGTATCTACACTTTCAAAGGATTCTTTGGTCAATAGTTCGGTAGTAAATTCACTCATAGTGAAGAAAATATGTTTGTTAATGTTAATGTTGGATTATTAGTGTTTTAACCAAAAGGAATGTTGATGGACTTATAAATTAAAAATCATTAAATCAAAAAGTTTATTTAGACATGTTGTGCAAATTAATATTTATGTGTGAAGTGTTATGGAACACAAAAATTTTAAATAAAACTCCCTTAAGAAGATACATAAAAAAGAACAAATGATTCATTTTACATAAAAAACCTGTTTTTTCAGTTTTGAAATTTAAAATGAAGATAACATTGGTATCAAATCCCATTGTTTAAATCCCATTTTCAGTTAAATTAGCCCAACCAATAAAATGATTTCCACAACATCTTATCGTTTCGTTATAAAAAATATGAATTTAGTAATTTGAATAGGCGAAAAGGCTCTTTTGACCGTTAAAATCAAGAGTTGATTGGTTAGTTTAGTCATGTCATGTGAAATTTAGTTGGAAAAATTCTCACACACACCGAGTTTTATTATACTAATGCGTCATACTATGTACTAAATGATTATAGTAATAGGGATTGTGTTTGTAATTTTTTTTTTTTGATTGTTTTTTTTTTCCTAAAAAAAAATATTATTATTATTGTATAAATAGATTTACATGGAGTTTTTGTTCAAGAACGAGTATGTTTATAAATGAACAATTGTTATTATGTCTAATAGTTCAACTTTTGATGCAGATACAAAATTTCTTGGAATATTTACCATCACAATTTAATATTTTACAATCAATACTATTTCCATCACCTTTGAAACAGTCTCAGGGTTTGGTTTTTTTGTTACATATTTTTCGAATATTTCTATTACTTGCAAGGTTTTCTCTTGTGTCGTTAAATGCATATTCGGTATAAAACCTTTCATCATCTTCATTATTAACAGCCACGCTAAATGATTCATGTTATATTCGGTGTTACAATATTATGAGCTAATGAAAGGATATAATATTATTATATTATTAATTGTTACATAAATGCCAAAAAACGGAAAGAAATGAAAACACACAAGTCTGTTTTCTGACGAAACTTTTCTTTCAGATGATGTTGTTGGTCTAGCTTCAGATGGAGCGGGCGGTGGCATGTGTTCTGGATCTAGTGACAGAACATTACACATTTATTTCATGATCACATGGTTTATGTATTCTAGCCAGATGAACAAATAAGAAATGAATTTGTAACGCCAAGATTTGATGAGTTAACCGGCTAAAAAAGTACTTTAACCGGTTAATGATGCCAACTACAACCTTTAATTATCTGTTGTAGGAAAAATAAAAATATTTAATCCAAAAAGAATGAATTTTGGAAACGAAGATGATCGGCACGAATTCTAATTTTCGAGTGTAATAGTAAACAAAAAACATTGTTCGTAATTTGAACTCCCAAAGGAGAAAATATTTATTACTATTTTTTGAACTACTGTAATTTTGGACTGGAGATAGTAATAGTAACAATAATAATTAAATATTAGGAGTGCACTCTTTTTGATTGTATAATTTTAATTTTCATTTTTACCTATTAAAATAAAATATATACTTAAAGGATTCGTGTGAAAAGGAAATTTATTAATAGGAATGTTATTTATATATCATTCATATTGATTGATGCATTAATGGATGTATTAATGGGCTGATAATGTTAATTGGTAAATTTCATAATAGGTTAGGTTTCTTTGTCCGGAGAGATTAATGTGTGTAATTAATTCATTTATTTTACTCATACAAGATCATGTGTATGATAAAGGATTTTCAAACTGTAGATGATAATGATTGTAGCAGTATTTATTTACCAATCACAAACATCATCAAATAATATTTATTTGTTTTCCTTCTAAAAGTGGATTCTTGGCCGTGTATCAGGAAAACCCTTGACGAAAGTAGTAGATCTTGGAAAAGTGATTCCTAAAAATAATGAATAAAGTTGGGATATATCTATGAATAGTCATTGACGGAGGTTTTCTGTATATTAAATTTATTATATAAACATGTAGATCATAATTAATGATTATTATTTTGCTTTTTTTGTACAGTGATTTTAATAATCAAAATCTATAATTTTGGAGGAAAAATATGTAGTTACATAACTTTTGTTATAATGGAAATAATGATTATTACAATGATGACAACGAATTAGAATTTTTCTTTATGTAACTAGTACAAATTTAGAAACTATTTCTTAAATCAAAAACTATAATTATTATTATAGCAATAATGTTACACCCGCGGATTTCGTTGAAGTTTCGATCCGATCAATATTTCTAAATATCGAAATCGTGTATTAACATTGAAACTCAAAATATAAATTTTTCTTTCTTCACCTTTAACGGGATACGTTCGAACAAGGAAAATAGAAACCAGGAGTCATAGAAAGTACTGTTTAACGATTTTAAAAAAACTAAATGATGTTTGCTATTATAATTTTTTATAAGTTCGATGGAACGTTTTATGATCTCTTTCTGACCTTTTGAACCTACTAATACTAAATAAAATCTGGATATTTAATTTATTTATAAATGTGACTTGTCAAAATAGTTCGAGTTTGCAGAACACACATAATTCTACAACATGACAATGGCGTGTTTTATTATTATTATTATTATTATAAATGTAATTTTTCTGGATGCTTACTAATACCATACCAAAACCCTAAATCAAAATCGAAAATCGAAATCGAAAACTGATTAAAATGATCGACGAAAATCTTTACTATTATATATAGTATTTAGGTTTTATCATTTGATTTCCCTACTTCTCTAGGACCATACGTCTATTAGATGGATCATGTAAATCTTTCTAAAAATATGATCGTCCAATATGTAAAAATCCAGCCTCAAGGTCACACGAACGCGTGTATTTATTTACATTTATATTAATATAGTCAGTCATTCTTACTTGCAAAAATGATGAAAGGTCCAAAGAAAAATGATCAGTCTGATAGGTTAAAGTCTACATTTAAATATAGAATGTCTGCATCTTTTTTTCACAAAAATGGATTTTACTATTCACCACCTTTCTCTTTAAATTACGAAACACTCTGGCAGCTTTATCTGGTAAGTATAAACAAATAAATTAATTGATCATTAATCATTAGCCTTTTCTTTTTCTACGGTGATAATAATAATGATTGTAATAATAAAATAAATAATAGACAAGTCATGAGAATGAAAATTATTATTCAATCTATGTTATTCCATTATCCATTAAAGCTGCCCCATCAACAAATAAAATACCATCAGAACCAGCCATATCACAGCAACAACAACAACAACACAATCAGCAAAATGACATTCTCGAGCAATATTTACTTGAAAATTGTTATCATGCTACATTTTTTATTGATACTGATTTTGAAAGATTAGGAAAGAATAGATGTGTTGTGTCTGGAATTTCTAAAGATAAAAAGGGTAATTAATCAATTAATTTGTTTGATTGCTTTCTTTATAACAAAAATAAACCAGTACATTACCAGTTTATAATTTATAATTATTAATTTATAATTTATCAATTTTATCAGGAATTGTAAATTTTATTAAAAAATCAACCTTACCTTCAAAAGGTGAAATAACCATCGGAATAAAATTACAATATTTTATGAGCCCAGAGGAAAAAAAATATTCTTCCAAAAGTATATCAATATCGTTACAAAAGCCTTCTAATGATTTGCTTGGAGTTTGGATTGATGAATTGAATAGACCAGAAACATCAGATGTTCAATTCAATGTAAATGGAAAAGAGATTTATGCTCGTAGTTCAATACTTGTTAAACAATCTCAATATTTTAGAAATATGTTTGAAGGAAGTTTGGTAGAAGATGATCATTCTTCTGGTGATAACACCAAAACTGATGATAATTCCGATACAATGACTAGTGCTGGCAATCTTTTCACTGAGACTACAGAAAACATTGCCAACAAAATCAACTGTAACAACAATACTACTGAAACCATTGTCAACAAAATCAACAATGACAACAATCAAGACGAAGATATCGTGATGGAACAAAATGATAAGGATGTAAAAGGTAAAGACAAATTAATTGGAACTACTGATAACAACGATATCATTGTCAACAACAAATACAAAATCAAAAAAATCAACAACAAATACATAGTAGATATGAATGATATAAATGATAAAACACTTCTTGCTGTTCTTAAATACTTTTATACAGGAAGTATTGAATTCACAACAACAACAGATAGCTCTATTATTGGTGAAAGACCAATTGATATTTTTATAGCAGCTGATAGATATCTTTTGGATGATTTACGTGAAAAATCTAGACAACGAATCCTTCAAGACTTAAAAATTGAAAATGTGTCTGAATTGTTGTTTGATGTATTATGGAGATGGCCTAGTCTAAGGATTGATGCCGTAAAATACTTTGCAGAGAATTTTTACAAGGTAAGAAAAACTGATGGTTACCATAGAACAAGAACCGATCCAAAGTATTCTCATGTTGATAATAATTTATGGCAAGAAATTATTGATCAATTGTTACCTAAAGATGCTCGTGTATTATTTGGTGGCGAAGAAAAGATGAGAGTTGACAATGATGATGGCGATGATGATAATGATGATGATGATGATGATGATGACGATGATAATGATAATGAATATGACTACGATGACGATTTTATTGATGATGGTAACATTGGTGTAAAGTTTCTAACGAATGATGATAGTGACAGTGACAGTGACAGTGATAGTGATAGTGATAGCGATGGTGATAGCGAGTACACAGATTATGGTAGAGGGACTCCAAAATAATTAATAAAATTTATTAAAGATAATTATTTCATCTTATTAATTTTTAGTAATGATTTGATAATAATATCAAGTATTTTTTTGTTCATTCTCATTTTTCATATCTCTCATTTCTATCATTATTGATGATTACGTTGTAAAAATTAATAAAGAAATTTTTTCTCTTATTATAGTATATAATTCTTTTTACAAATTAGTTAATTATATAATTTGATTAATTTTTCTTCAACTTGGTATTTTAAAATTGATGTGACATTTCATGCATGCAAAGAAGGAAATTAATTATCTTAATTAAGTTAAAGTTTAATGAAAGACGAGAAAGAAAGAGAAATTGTTTGTGCGAAGATTTAAAAGAAAGGTTTTTTTTCGAATAATAACAATTAGATAATAATAAGAACAGACCGAAATGACAAATTAAACATACTAACTTGTGTATATTTCTTAAAATCAAAAACGATTTTCTTCACATGTTCATACATTAATATCCGAAAACTATCGTATAATCTTTTTATAATCTTATTTTATGATTTTTATTGAAACAATAATTACAAAAATTACATAGCCTCCTTCATTCCTAAATACTGATTCAGTTGAATAACAGGTTGCCAAATCGACTAAATCTAAATTGAAACTGGAGTAACTTACCATTTTAGACGTTTAAGAAAGAATTTTTTATATATAGAATATTTGGAAACATCTAACTGTGTATGTAATAAGCTACCAATTGTTTTCTACAGCAGTACTAGTAGATTACGTCAATGGTTATCACCTTATATAGGACAAACAACATAACCAAAATAGGGTATTGATTTTAAACAAAAAAACCTACATTAATAGAAAATTTGATCCCGAGATCATACACGAATCACAATTTTGATTCAATCTATTACTAAAATTAAAAATATAAACTATCACCGAAATACAAAGTATTGATATCGATAATGGTAATGTAATTGGTTCAAATATAACAAATTGGTCAGATAACGCAAAGGTTATTATAACAATATGTCGGCGGAACAGCTAAAAATTCATCCAACAGTGAAAAAGGCTTTAGCGAATATTAGACACAGCACCTTAGCATACTTTTAGTTTATTTAATTAAATTTTCCATTAAATTTATTATCTTGCAGAATCAGATTGTGTATGTGTTACCAAAAAAGAAAAGGAAAAACATTAATTATAATGAACCGTGCATGCTTTTTGTAATAGAGAAGCTAAAAAAAGACATGTGACCATATTGTCGAATCATGATTCATAATGGTCGAATGGTTTGGATTCACAAACAGCCAACACCTTACATAAAAATCTTTTAGAGATGTGAAATGAATAGCCATGGTGGGAACAGTATATACGTGAAAATGAAGCTCACCGGAAAAACATGTCTCAGGAAACACAAGGTATTTTTATATCCAATTCCCGGATTAAAAAGGGAACCTAACAAACATTGTTGAGATGCGCAAAGATAATACACAACTGGAATGCTCCACAAGAGCTTTATTTCCATTATCGGGATGGTTATAAAAGCATTAAAGCTCTACTTTCTTCCCGTATCTAGTGGCGTCTAGTGCTTATATTCATTCATTCAAGGTTGATTATCTAGATATCGTGACGATCATGTCAAAGATATCCACTGACTTCTATAGTCGGTTAGTGAAGATTTTAAGTATAGTTTTTATAAAAGGAAAAGATTTTTCACCCATAATTTTTTGAATTTCATAAAATATTCTTTACCATTGAGAAATGGACTGTAACTTTCCAGATCATCAAAGATTAGAAGGAGAGAGGCTGAATTTCACTTGACAAATGTGAACGGACAAAAATAAAATTATTAAACTATTAATTAGCTCATTCATTCATTCATTCAATAATTATATCATTCATTCATTCACACATTCATTCAATAATTGTATCATTCGTTGGATCAATCATTGATAAGATATGTGCATTCTAAATCAACCACTCTCCAATTTGTTAATTTTGTAAACTAATATGTTTGGTTAGATCTTCCCAATAAAAAAAATAGAAAGAAGAAACCGCTAATATTTTTTTATCAACAAATTTTTACACGAGATGAGTTGGTGCCAATTGTACAACCTAGCGATTAAACAAATTCAAAAAGATACAATAAAGTATTAATACATAATAATATATCCATTAATCATTTCTATATTTTTCCAATTAGTAGTCAATAATCAAAAAAAAAATTTTTTTAAAGTTTGATTAAATAATTTAAAGTTTTCCCCGAATTATACTGTACGTGCGCCAAACATATAAATTAATATGATACAATAGGATAGCAAATTAATATTAGCTAAATTCGTCCGATCATTTAAACCACAAAAAAAATGCACTTTTTTGCTCTGATACAAAAATGAGAATATAATGTTTATCAAACATACATATTAATATTAATATAATGATATAAATATATCCTGCTTTGTCCGGTTATTAGCTATTATTAATTAGCAAATTAAAGAGAATTTTTTTTTCTATTTAAATCACATTCCTTCCTTTTTCTTTCTTTTCATTCCTTTCATTTCATTCCTTTTTTCTTTTTCTGGAGGTTTTTTTTTTTTTTTTTTTATAACAAATCAATTTATGTTTTTAAGATTTTCTAAACCTTTAATTAAAATTGTTAATAACATGGGACATGTCCCATCCAAACAGCCAAGAAAAAGGAGCTCAGCGAGTAGTAATAACAGTGATGGTAATTCTTCTTCAGCAAGTAATAATGGTACTATTAAAAGTAATCGATCGAGTGATAGTAAAAATGTTGACGGATTTACCTTTAATTGTAATATTGACAACTTCAGTTCACGAGAGATCATCTCACATCAATCAGCGATAAATCAAACTGTCGATAGAAAACATCGGCAACACTTCTTGGTTAAATACGTATGGGATGGGAATTTTTCGTCTCCAATTGAGCAAAAATTAAGTGATGGTTGTAAAGTGGCCGAGATAAAGTAAGCAAAATATTTATTTTTGCCTCGAAAAGATGAAGAATCAGAGAAGGATGACAATAACAATAAACTAATTTATATTTAATAAATATTTAATAAATATTTAATAGTTGTGGCCCGGCACCATGGTTGCTAGAAATGTCATCGATTTATCCGTCAACAGAATTCCATGGTATTGACTTATTTGGTTTATTCCCTACTGAAATAAAACCAACGAATGTTAAATTCGTAAAAGTTGATCAATTAATAAATAGGCTCCCGTTTGAAGATAATTATTTTGATTTTATCAGAATGTCTTTTGTGGAAAATATTTTGAAACAAGACGAATGGTCAATTATTTTAGAAGAATCATTAAGGTTGGTAATGTATACATAATACATATTTTAAAAAATAAAAAAATATTCATTCCAAATTTTTTATTTTTTATTTACAGGATACTGAAACCTGGCGGATATCTAGAATATCTCGAATATGAGACTAAAATTTATGATGCTGGTCCAAAAGTAACGACATTTGTTGATAAATGTAAGCAGGCATATTTAACATTTCATTTTCTTTATATTATGATTTAATAATTTCTTTTTCTTTTTTTTTCCCGCTCAAAAAAAGTTGCAAAATATTTAGAGAGTGTAGATAGGTATCAAAGACTACCATTTGAATTATTTTCAACATTTCCTCAATTACAAAATATAAATATTGAATCCAGAAAATCAAAAACTTGTTACAAACATGATGATAAAGTTGCCGAATTACAATTCGAATTATTCGAACTTTATTATGAATCAATTGTTGATATTTTTAGTGAATACATGGGAATAACAAAACAGGAATATGCGGATTTATGGGAGGAATATAGAATAGAATCTAAAAGCTATACCAAAGCTTATACAAAAATGTATAAAGTATGGGCTCAAAAAAAATTAAATTAATTTTTTCTTTTTATATATAAATAAATATTAATATTCATTCATTACTCACTTGTATTTTTACTCAAAAAAAAACAAATTTTACTTGTAATTTATTTCAAAAATAAAAATAAAATTTCTGAGGTTTTTTAATAATCTTTTTCTATTAAAAGATCATTATTGGAAGATTAAAAAATTTCAATTATGTTGAGAATTTGATATTTCAAAGAAAACATTATAAATATTATAATCAACATATGCGCTGATTTTGTTAGAGCCCCAAATTCAGCACGGTATGTATGATCCTAACGTTATGAACCCATTAGTTTTGATAAGGTGGGCCATTTGTTTGATGGGCTGCGCACAATCTAAAGTTAATAAATACTTATTTTATACTATATAAATTTTAATTTTTGTAAAAGTGGAAAATAAGTATATTTTAAGTACACAAATGCCTCCATTACTGCAAAAAATAAGGATGTTTTAATGATAAAATAAGTGTATCCAATCAATTTTTGTAAAAAATTAATGATCATCATTTTATGAAATACATTGTGGTGTTCGATGGCGGTTGATCATCAAACATATGTTACATCAATATAACAAATTATTATGTGCGGATTTTTTT